GATACTGCGAGCATCCAGTCTTAAACACTAAATTGAGAAATAAAAGTTCTGATTCAACAATTTTATTTCCTTGAGCAGAGAATCTAGTGATGATGATGAGGATGAAGAAAGCCCCACTGAAGATGCTCTAAGAACGAGGAGGAGCGAGTCCCTCCCCCCAGAGATGGGAAGCGATGACTCTGACAACCAACAGCCTACCATGTGGCTTGGGACCGAGGATGGGTTTATCCACGTGTATAACTGCTCCGACACGATAAGAATTAAGAAGAACAAATTCAAGTTTCAACCAGGCTCTCCTGTTCACTGTATTATGTAAGTTGTTTGGGTGAAATTGTGGGTTTGGGAAACTGCTGAATGGCAGATCAAGGCTGACTTTGTTGTTAGAAAATGCCATTTTCTTTCCACATAAGCTAGTTGGGCCTAGATTCTGGCTAATAATGTATTTCAAGGGAATGGAGACATTGAATTTTTTTCATCTATTATCAGAAAAAGTAAGCTTAGAATTATTGATGTTTAACTGATGAATCTAGTTGTAACTACTTATTACTTAAGTTGCTACCAGTATTATTTTTAGTATCATTAATATGAATTTGTTAATCTTAATTATTTTATTATCAATATTTTCAAATACATCATTTTATCTTATTGCTTCATTGTGGAAATGACATTGCTAACTGATGACATGTTACTTTTATAATTTACAATGCTAATCTGTATCTCAGCAATAAATACATATATTTTTTTTCTATTCACAGACACCTAGACACTCGAGTCTTTGCATCCTTAGCAAATGGAGACATTATTGTCTATCGGAGAGATGTATCTGGAGGATGGAATGTTGCAGATAGACAGGTAGTGAGCATTAGCACAGCTGCGGCACCTGTGACCAAGATGATGGCAGTTGCAGGGAAACTGTGGTGTGCAGCCATGAATACTGTCAGGGTCCTCAACACAGGCTCACTCCAAGTAGAGGTGAGTTGGGAGCAATCTTTATGCATGTAATTAATTATTATTAATATATATATATATATATATATATATATATATATATATATATATATATATATATATATATATATATATTATATTATTTATATTTATTTATTTATTTATTTATTTATTTATTTATTTATTATTTATTCATTTATTCATATTTATATATATGTATATTTTTTTTTTTTTCTCCACTTCATTTTTTGGTAAACTGAATTTTGATTTGCTATATAAAGTAACAAGTGGTTGCAAATCAGAAGTTAAAAAGGGCACTTAAAAGGGTATGTAATTAATCATTTTTAGCTCTACAACAAATATATGTACTGTAATTTATCAAGTAATGAAGCTGTTTAGTATGAGATAGAGGGACCTACAAAGGAAACATTGCATTTTGGGATGGGAAAGGGTCACCAGAGTTTTGTGAATTACTATATAAACCTGCTAATTAGTACCAGAACATATAGATGTGGTCTGAATGCAGAAAAAAGTGTTTCCTGGCAAGAACAATACATGTATAAATTAGAATACTTTCCCAAAAAGTAAAAAACTATCACAGTGGTCATATATTTAATTTTTTAGTGTATGAAAGAAAGGTTTATGGAAATGATTAGAAAAATTATTAAACTTAGTAATAAGAATGCTCGTAAATATACTATGTAATTAGTTAAATTAATCATTATATTGACTGAATGACTTTTATTACTTGTATGAGTACAATACAGTCACAAAAAATGTAAGGATTAGTATCCAAAACAAGAACAAGAAGAAGTATTTCTCATCCAACTTTTTTTCTTACCAACAGCACTCATTTGTAGTCGGTGGAGAGAACGGCAGAGGGGTGTCATGCATGGTGTCAGCCGGCCATGGGGTGTGGATATCAGTACTCAATTCAGCTGCAGTGAGACTATACCATGCAGTCACTTATGAGTATTTGCGTGAAGTAAATGTAGCTCAGGCAGTCACCAAAATGCTTGCAGGTAATGTATCTCTGGCAAACTGATTTCTTATGGAATTTGTTGTCATAAAGAAACTAAATCACCTATCACAGTAATGTAATCAATTTTGTATCCAACGTGTAGACATAGTAAGATGCACACATGCTCAATAGACTATATATATATATATATATATATATATATATATATATATATATATATATATATATATATATATATATATATATATATATATATATGTATATATATATATATATATATATATATATATATATATATATATATATATATGTATGTATGTATGTATGTATGTATGTATGTATTTTCAAGATGATAACAGACTAATTTTCTTTCAGGTTGTGATGACATTATTAGACAACACAAGGCTGCGTGCTTAAGAGTGACATCACTACTAGCTTGCAAAGATCTCCTCTGGGTGGGGACAAGTGCAGGTGTTATTATCACAGTACCTCTGCCTCACCTAGCCCTTAATACTAACCGAGTTCAGGCTCCTCTCAATATGGTCGGGATACCGTACGGCCATACTGGCCATGTTAGGTAAGTTAGATTACATTTTAGGTATGACTGATGCTTTAATTTTCAGATGAAAATATTGATATTACATTTTGCACACACACACACACACACACACACACACACACACACACACACACACACACACACACACACACACACACACACACACACACACACACACACACACACACACACACACACACACACACACACACACACACACATTACACACCAGAGGTGGGTCTTCCATGGTGGCACAGGGGGGGCCCCGCCCCCTTGCAATCTGATTGGCCAACCCGTGTGCCCCCCACCCAAGAGTCATTGACCCTTTATATATTAATATATAATATTTACATATAATATTTTATATATAATATATATATTAACATATAATGATATATAATACACAGCAAGATGAAAACATAAACAGTGTATAACTATACAATATAAGTACTAAAGTGGGCAATCTTAATTTATTGTTTCTTTTGGGTGGCCTCCCCCAGATTTATTGTTGTTACCCTGTGCCCCCCACCAGAAAATTCTCTGGACCCACCCCTGATACACACACACATATATACACACACAAACACACACACACATGAAAGTGAGGGATAGCTTATCCTTACATTGTATTAGTACACTAATTCCTATTCATATTCATTCCCTCATACCTGTATCAATTGTGCTAAAAGCCTTATGTATTTATAGCTAGTAAATAGTAAATTGCAGTTTAGACAAATACTGTGAACCACAATGAAACTAATATAGATAAAAATGAATGAAAGCAAAGAAGAAAATGACACTGCATAGCATGAATCTTGATACTGAATATTTAGAAGGACACTCACAATACTTTAAAATCACAGAGGTGGTGTTTATAGAATATGCAGTTAAGTCCAAATTAGGAGGCTTTCTATTGAAGGTTAGTTTCCTAAAATGAGTAGACTAATATGTTAAAATCAGGATCTAACACTTGGAACATGTTTAATCTTTGCAGATTTTTAACAAGTGTGGAACTGACTCCTGAACCTCGAACTTCTCGCCTTAAAGGACATCATAGATACTCTTTCAAGGGCAAAGATCACCCTCATCACCAGGTAAGTCAGGGAATAGGAACTTTCAGAAAAAGTACATAATCATGGGACACAATTTAATGTTATAGATGATATTCCTGAAGTCTTTAATGATGTTATAAATTATATATTCATTCAAGTAAGGAAAAGTTTTGGCTTTCAAAATGCCCTTTAATTAGAAAAATGTGGATTATAATCTACTTTGGTAAATAATGAGCTAGGTAAAAAAATTGATTGTAATTGTTTCTATATAGTTATAGTTACTGTTATTATCATTAGCAATAACAGTATGTTATATTCTATTTTTCACTATTTTAGATTGCATATCTTTGTTGTTTTTACAGCCAGGCACTGCAGCACCTGCAAAGCTGTTAGTAATATCTGGTGGTGATGGCTATGAAGATTTCCGCAACTCGGGGATGTCAGAACTTGCAGGTCGTGATGACTCAACCAACCACTTATTGCTGTGGCAGGTCTGAATTTAGTCTGATAGACTATTTTATAACATAAATCTAACAGTGACTTATCTAAAGAGACTGGCCTGAAAAACTTGTCTCTAGAGGATTCATCAGTGACATTTTGAAAGGTGTCTGCTGCATATCCCAATGAAGAGAGCCAGCTTGTCTGTGACCTTCAGGAAAAACAAAGGATGAAAATGGATGGCCTTGCTAAAGATGACCTTAAAAATCTATTTTAGCAGAAATAAAGAGATATGTATCAGGGTATTCTTTAATGGAGGTATCCTAACTGTACTCATAAGAAATGGCCAACTTTGAGGGATCTGTCTGGACTTATTATACATATCTCTATACTTATCTTGATGAATAAGCCTGAGTTCTTGCTCTTCAAGTTGACAGTAGAGGAAGACCTGTATTAGACATCTAAAATAAAATAAACAAATATATATATATATATGTATATGATGTTGTACCACACAATTCTAATTCCAAGCAGGTCCTTCAAAATATAAGTGACCATAAATGTGCTGCTGCAACGTACTTCCACTTTAAAAAAAAAATTGCATTGTGAACTTAGAACATGTGAGCTGTGTGGAACTCAGCTTGAAGACCTGGTGGGGGTGCAGTGTGGGTTACAAAATGCCCTTAAGAAGTGCCAGATATCCTGCAGATAAATTATCTGTCAAAAGTTAATAGAAAGGATGGTATTTTCTAACTCTGTCATAATTCTCAGATTGATTAAATACTTGCATTTCATCCTAGCTTAATGTTTTTTGCAAGAATTCTTGCTGCCTAGTATGAATGTGCAAATTTGAAACTTTGCATTTATTTCATGCTAATTTACAACTTACTCTTAGTCTTTATTTATCCTTATTTATTACAAATATCAGAATCTTCAAAACAAACTGCCATTGCATTCATTAACCCTGGTAATGCCTGCCTTAGTAAATGACAGACTATGTGATATGATACATGAGTGCTTAGTGATAATTCAATTTCCTCTTTCCAACAACGAAGTTTCTGCCTCGGCCAGAGATTCTTTTGATTTGCAGTTTCATTGCATGTGATAGCAAAGCATCAAGTCCCCTATAAGGGTGATATGGGGTAAAAAATGTCTTTATCATCTCTGGTTCTATTATTTCCAAGCTTGGGTATTACTATTCATGTTCAGAGTAATTTTAAACTTGTTAGGAATTAAAAAAGAAAAGCTATCAGTTAAAGAAATATATTGTTTAATTACAAAGTAGAACTTGTCCTCTTGCTAAAAACAGTGGGACATTCTAACACATGTGGTTACTTCCTCAATATAGGTTTCTCTGTATAGTGAAGCAGTGTCAGCACTCTATCACAACAGCATAGTTAATAATGGCAAAAACTCCTGTGCCAAATTATAGCATCAACCTGTAGCCTATGAATTCTTGTGAATAACAACCTTAGGAAACAATGAGGTACTTGTAAGCAGGAAACTGGATGTCAGTTATTTAACAGAATTTTTACTAGTCATACATTAATGGATGGTGATGTTTACACTGTAAGTAGCCCTGACATCAGGATACTTTTATGTGAAAGAAAATGATGGATGTACACTCACTGTGGGTTTAGATACTTCAGGAAAGATAAAGGAATTTAAGGATATAAAGATCCTTACAAATAAAACCATCTTGTACTGCTTGGGAGGTAGGCAATATATAGGATATTTCTCTCTCTCTCTCTCTCTCTCTCTCTCTCTCTCTCTCTCTCTCTCTCTCTCTCTCTCTCTCTCTCTCTCTCTCTCTCTCTCTCTCTCTCTCTCTCTCTCTCTCTCTCTCTCTCTCTCTCTCTCTCTCTCTCTCTCTCTCTCTCTCTCTCTCTCTCTCTCTCTCAAGTTGTGGATGTGACTGTAACTATGAGTGTCTATGGTCTTATACATGTATATTTAGTACTTATATTATTTTCATATTGCATATTCACTTATATTACATAATTTAGCAAAGGCTAAGTTAATGGAATACTTTACTCACGTGTAATGTTCTTTGTGTTTGATGACATTTCAGTCCAAGTATTTTTCTATAAGTTATTTATGTCACTTCATTTCATATATGTCTCTTTAGTGCTGAATGCCACAGTAAGTCTTAACATTTACAATATCTGCATGATTGCTGACTGTACTTTAATTTGTGGAAACTGGTTATAAGAAGACCCTTTGGATTATAGATCCTTATAGGAAATATACAGATTATATATAAGTGTGTGTGTGTGTGTGTGTGTGTGTGTGTGTGTGTGTGTGTGTGTGTGTGTGTGTGTGTGTGTGTGTGTGTGTGTGTGTGTGTGTGTGTTGAAATATATTTACGTATGTGTGTATGTGATACAACTATAATTTGCCTACCTAGCAAGGATGTAAGATTATGTACTATATTATCTTTCCTAAAGGGAACACTTGCCAAGTTAAGATATCAATGGAAAACGGTACTGTGTTTATGCTGCCTACTTGTTATAATAAAATTATGTGAAATTTTATTTTCTTAGTAATATCTGAATTGTGGATACAAATATAAAAAAAAGAAAAAAAAATATTACCACTTATGATTTAGTCACTAAGATCAGTGATTGTGACATAGATCTATGTTATCTTCATTACAATTAATTATTTTCAAGTTCATTATTGATGCAACAATTGTGTGAAATAGCACGTGATGGGATCTTATGTTATCAATCAATGATATTGTTTCTCTCAGGTCACATGCAGTAATCCGTCATTACTACTTATTAGATGAGGTCTCTTTTATTTAGCATGGACTTATCTCTCATAGAGATTTCTGCACATATTTATCAAAGGATGTAGCACAATGCAAGTTTACCATGAAATCCCTTACATAGTATTAATTTAATGTTGTAATGCTTTTGCCAATTCTGATACTAATGCAACACTATTTCATCTGCTAAAGTGCATTATCAATTCAGAACAGTGAAACATATCTAATACTTGAAATAAAAAAAATGATCCATGTCCTTTAACTTATTTTGAAGAGAGTGCTGTACATTTAGTTATCTAAGTATACCCGCTTACTTTGAAAGCATTAATGTACAATTCAGAATACACCCAAAGACTGTACTTTGGGATTTTGTATTCCAAGGGATTCTCCAACATCTCAAAGGAATTGACACAAGTATGGTGACCCATTTGGCTGTGGTAGGATGGATACATGTCATTGTGACCTGATCTCAGAAGGTCCACAGAAAAGTGACACTATGCAGATACTTGCTGTAAGGTGGAGTTTAGTACAGCAAAACCAAGAGAGCAACCTACCTTATGGTAATTAGAAGGTAGTGTCATCTACTACTGTTCCACTGAGTTTGCCTGCCAGAGTTTCCAGGCGTCTCTGTTCCCTGAGTTGGCAAACATTGCTGATGTCCTTGCCCCATTACTGTCTTTGTTTATCTTCTGCTGTATTTATGAGTTGACCAAACTACTAAGATATTAATAAATTTTAGTAAAAAATTGAA